TTATATATCGGTATCTTTATTCAAAAATCATATTAATAATTATGTAGTAATTAAGTTTATTCGGTTTATTCATTTATTATTATTATCAAGATATTATATATATATATATATATATGTACTAATATTGGGTTTAATTTATATATATTCATTTATTATTATTAACATGATCACTAATATATATATATATATATACATATATATATATATAATATGTATATATATATAATAATAAATATTATATATCGGTATCTTTATTCAAAAATGTTATTCATAATTATGTGGTAATTAAGTTTATTCAGCACTACAGTACGGTATTACTTCTTCTTTTCTTTATTTACAGAAAAACAACGAAGGTTAAGTCGACTTGGTTTGAGCATGATGGTTTGAGACACGTTTCTAGTATCGATATATATATTTATCATGTTTATTAATGCTTAAATAAAAGATTTATGGAATAAATGTAGTACTGTGAAAAGATTAGTTTGTCATACGTTTGTTTTCTTCTGTTAGGTTTCGTTTCCTTTCACCATAATGTAATAACAAGTTCATATTGATAAAATAGACTGAATGGTATAATGATAAATGAAAACAGAGGAAATATATAATATTTTCATATTTATTTCCTATATCAAATTATTAATATGTTTATAATTATATACTGTATATTTTAATGGTCACTCGAGGCTTCTTTAGTGGTAACATACGTTCCCACGTATATAGATTCCCACGGTACTCTTTGAAGCAGACACAAAGTTTTGATACATATTCTGATGTTTATTATACACAAATAAATGGAAATACAATAAAATATGGTTTTAATATAATGTATGTTAATGGCTGTTTCGGGCTTCTTTATATTATCAGGAACAATTCAAGTAGTACTAGTTGCCTGGAAACTAACTATAACAAAAACTTTTCCACAAACTGGTTCCCACGTACTCTTGTTTGGGTAAGATTCTTTGTACGCCGCCTTCAGGAATGTGGACGCATTACTGCAAAGACAGAATAGGTCAGATAATGGCATTCTATTTTTAGGTGTTGCAAAACACGTGCAATGGCACGTGTATTCACCTACTGTAACTTCATACACATGTCCAGTGATGGCGCCAGGACCTGCCCGACGGTGGGGGGGGGGATTAGTGGAGCGAACTCAGTCTCACTTGGCCAGGAGACTGCCCAGGGCCCCCGGAGGGGTCGCCCCAGGAGCCACGGCTATTTTTGACGAATTATAGCAAATTTTTATTACTTTTTGATAGGCATCGAGCTACTATAATAATACTATAACTTCATGTAGGTTATGTTTTCTGACGTCGAAATTAGCTTCCAAAAACCAAAATATTTTGAATAAAACAAGAAACAAAGAGTATGCAATTTAACCATCTAAGTGAAATTCTACATTTTGGAAATTTTGCATTAAATTTGTTGTCAAGGTCGATGTTGTTTCCACTATCAGATGTATTACAAGCATCATGAGGCTATCCAAACGAGCATTTGTCATAACAGAACGCAAATTATTTTTAATTAATGTCATTGATTATTATTATTTATTATTATTATTATTATTATTAGGCCTATTATTGTTATTATTATTGTTGTTGTTGTTGTCGTTGTTGTGATGAAGAGTTAACAAAATAGTTTAATGAAAGTAAATAATTATTTTTAATTTACTCATCTTCCCCGATTAAGCTTCAAAGCTGTCTCTTATACACATCTAGATGTGTAGCTATCGTCTCTGCTACTGGTACCGTATCATATCAAAGTACACAAATTATTGGAAATATAAATATATTTGTTTATTTATAAAAATAAATGTAGGCCTATAAATTTTGGTTTATTGCCGTTTTAACTTAGGCCTATTGCCGTTTTGACTTATTGCAGTTTTGACTTTATTGCCGTTCTGGTTGAAAAGTGTTGCCGTTTTGGTTTTTGCCGTTTTCCTCATTGCCGTTTTGACTTATTGCCGTTTTGGTTTTTTGTCGTTCTGTCCAGCAACCAAAGACAGTTGTCAATCAAGGTTTGCATCCGAGCATGACTAGAATCCCGTTGGTCAGAACGTTTTTCTTCCATAGAGTTGCCTCAAACTTGCAGTTTGGACTCTTTCCCTATCCCAAACCCAATTGATACAGCCAATAAAACCATCTGAACAGACTTGTGGTTTCAATATGTGTTTATGTAATAATTATGGTAATGGTGATACACTTTTTTAGAGCATCTACAAAATCGTCTCTATGCGCTAAGAAACCTCAGCCCAATTGCACAATAAGAATGAATAATCAAAAACAAAACCAAAAGAAAATGAAAAGTTCAGAATTAAAATAACGAGAAAAGATGGAATTTGAGCCGAGACTTGAAGACAGTCAAAGTTGAAGAGTAACGCACAGTCTCAGGTAGTTGGTGCCAAAGTTTTGGAGCAGCAACAATAAAAGAACGACCGCCACAAGATCTAAAGTGACCAATGGGACAGTCAGTTGAGAATGGCAGACGAACGAAGAAAACCGGCTTCAGATAGTTTTAGTGATCACATGGCCACTGTGTATCCGTGAGAGGGCGTGCTTTGGTCGTGAAAAAAACTTTCCTAGATAGATTTGCTGCTGAACATTTGGAAATGTAGTGTGCGTTTTCTCTAGGGTTATTGTGTAATTTTAATGAATTTTATTGTAAAACACATACTTTTATATTTTCAGTATGTTAACAGTGATATTCCATATAAACACCTTACGGTTCGCCGTACCAGCTGTGGCGTTAATGGGTGTTGGACCACAGTATCTAACGCTAATCCTAGGCTGGCGATTAGCCTCTGTCTTAATGCCAACGAGCTGGTTCCGTGCGGGTGACGATTGCATATGGGGAACATACCAACGATTCATTGAGTTCTTCTTTGAACATTGTACAGGCGTGGAGGTATTTTGCAAAAGTGGATTTTTGAATTATTTCTTTTCTATATAATATAAACCAATTTAGCTTAGCTCTCATTAAGCTTCAAAGTGCGCATTGCAGTAGACATAGCCTACAGTAATGCAGGCTTTTTAACTACAAAGTGTCTAGGCCTATGCTTACGCCGAGTCGTAAGCAGTGTGACCACTCACAATTTTTGATATACCCAATGACTGGGTCGAAATTATCCAAGATTCAGCAAAAATTGCCCAAAATTACCCAAGCTTCCTGAAAATGCATTAATGTATAGTTTCCCTTTTAGTTCAATTTAAAAACCAATTTTTATTGTAATTGTTTGTGTTAATTATTAATATTAATATTCATGAGGTGATAATACAGATAGAAAAATACTTTGTTACTTCTTAATTCTTCCTCTATTACAAAAATATTTTATTTTCTTAGTAAAAATAAAATACCCAAGGATTTGAACGGAATACCCAAGAACCCAAGACCAAGTCAAAATACCCAAGATCTTGGGTAAATACCCAAGCAGTGGTCACGCTGGTCGTAAGCATTAATCATAGGCTATGCTTATGCCGATCTATTTGAAGGGCGCCGCTTGCTTCGTGAGTACGAAAACATCCTATTGAGCATGTGCAAATATTTTTTTTCTGTAGCGCGCACTTGGTGAAGTTTCAAGATGGCAGATGAAAACACTTTGCGTCTCGGTGGCACTTTCACAAGCTATGAAAAATTGTCAGAAGCTGTATCGAATTGGGAGAAAGAAAATCACATAAATTTATATAAACGATCTTCACGTAGCATCGATTCTGCCAAAAAACGTGCACCTAGAAGAAACGTCAAACCCGAATTAAAATTCTATTCAATCGATTACGCCTGCGTAGTTAATATTTCCGTAGTAAGGCATGTTTATAAACTCCTACCTTTTCAAGTGCTAATTATTGCCGTGTGACCTTGAATGAGCTGATTACAGGACATCTTATCTCACCATGTTAATATCAGAGCTAAGTTAGTACAGCCCATATTTCGTGGTACAGTTGTTGCACATCGAATCATTTAGTTAGTAGAAAAAAAGAAAGTTATTTTTGAAGAGAGTTTCCTTTCAAACATTTCAATTGTTAAAAACCTTGGTGCTTAAACCGAAATATACTACAGTGTTTTTGTATATTAATAACAAAATTGGATTGAAACTGTGTCACGCTCTCTTGTAATTATTGTATGCGTACTTGTTCATAATCACGGATCAAGAGATGTTAGAAAGGTCGGGGTGAGGGATCGAGATAAGAGCACCCTAGGGGAAATTCTTGTTTTTGATTTCGCTTTTTAATTATGTACTGTAATGTGCAGGACAATGATTTAAAATCAGAATATCACTGCAGCAGGCATGTCATCTCCAACATTCTACACATCATACATAGATACATTGTCATTATTATTTCAGATATAGTATTGTATCAATATCAACATAAATTGGGCTAGATAGGCCTATCTAACAATGAAGTACTGTATCACAATGAACAGACGGCAAGAATTGGGTCCTCGTGTGGGAATGTACTAATATGTCTGCCTCAGTTCATGACGATGCCTGTTCTTTTGGAAAACTGTGGACTAGACAAAGCTCATGCCTCGACAACGTGAAATAGTAAGCAGATCAATGAGTAATAGATCGGCGTAAGCATAGCCTCGAAATAATGCTTAAGCCAGCCCTGTGCATGCTCAATAGATCGGCGTAAGCATAGCCTATGACTAATGCTTACGACTCGGCGTAAGCATAGACACTTCGTTTTAACTAATGCATACCGTAAAACCTCGAATTAAACTTTAAAGACCAGTGTGCTTAACTTAATCTTGAGATGAAGCCCATCTCGAATTGAAGGCCCCTTTTTAGTCCATGGGCTTCTTTACAAGATAGCATAGGCCTAGGCATCTTTTGGAGATAGTACAATACATACACTGTAGGCCTACATAAATTTCAAGTGCAGTACACACTGTACATGAATTTCAAAAAACAAAATAAATTTAAAAAGAGCTTGGTTTGTACAGTAGTTTAGGTGATTAATTTATACCTGTTAAATACACTCCATGATACAGATTGATGTTACAGTGGCCTTATTTATTGTTTAATAATTATACAAATTCACAAAATTTACAGCATTCATTTTGAAAAGAAGCCCCCTCTTTACTTTGCAAAAGTAGC